GTATTTATAGGGTAAAAAACCCAACAACCCCGGTGCAAATTTTCTACCTCATTAAATGAGGTTTGGAATAACCATTGTAAATTTCCACAATGGCTGCTGTAGCTTACAGCCTCTTGCAATAGGCTGTGGAAAATGGGCTGGAACTAGAAGCTTCTGCCAACAAATAGATCATCAACGGCAAGACTGGGGTCAAGGCAGCGAGCTTTGGTGAGGAACTTGAGAGCACGAGCCTGCTCCCTAGCGTCCAACGCGTATTTTCAAGCATTTCAAAGCATCATCTTTGTTCCCGTCCATAATTAAACAAGTAGCAACCAAAAAAATAGACAACTAGGGAAAGAGGAAATAGAAGAATTTACTGCCGGAAATTTAACGGATCTCTATAGCTTGTCAGGCCTGAAGATCGAAATTGGAACGCTAGAGCTCAGATCCCATAAACACAATCACTGCCAATCTAACTTTCCTCGATTGCTCTGGTGGAAATAGCAATTAGATAGATAGCCGGACGGATCGACGTCGACCAGGAAAGCGGAAGGCTTTCGAGAGGGAGAGGGAACCAGGAGTGGAGATGCCAAGTGAAATTGGAATTCTAAATGAAGAACATGACCGTAGATGGAGTATTTCGGAAAAATAAGTAGGAGGCCTCTTTTCTCTAATCGTACCTAGAAAGGCTAAAACTCCGGTTTTGAAATAAAATTTGAATTTTTGGTACAGTAAATACCCCTCTTTTGTCTGCGTTGGTGGAGTATTAAAACCTAAGATGTAGAGGAACAATGCAGAGAGGAAAAAGATCGAAGCTTTCAATTCTTTGTTCTTCTGATTGATCATTGATTGGTCCTTAGAACTCAAGGATACAGAGGTACGAGCCTGCAGAACAGACACTGTTCAAGTAATGTTGTGATCATTGATTCGCCACTGCTCTCTCATGGCTGGGTAAATATATATACGGGAAACTGGATCTCAGCCGGTCCTCTTAATTTTTTGTCGGAATGATTTATTAAACGGCGTCGTTTCAAGTTAAAAGCATAAAATCCCAATTTTGCTCGTCTTCAACTTTCCCCACTTCCAAGTTCCAAAGGTCTTTCTTTCACTTTCAAACTCAAAATCGCTCGCTTGTTTCCACTTTCACATCCAAAATTATCAATTCCCACTTGGGTTATTTTGGGTTGCAGAGAGTACGCTGGTTTTCAAGAAAGATGAGCGCCTGGTGGGTTCAATGCATGTTTCTGCAATTTTGATGATAATGAAGAATGGATACAACGTAAAATCAATGGCGATCTTGATCCCAGAATCAAATTCTAAACGGTTTGCTTGCAATGAAACCTTTTTGTTTACTTATGACGGACTGGATTTCTTCTTTGATTTGCCCTTGTTTCTCTACATTCAAAAGCTCTCTATTCTAAAACCCTTCCTGCAAATTCTCCTTCCATCCTCCCGACACCATAGCTACTCAACCCATTCATCGGAGGCTTGAAAACTATGTCGAAGAAGTTACCGGCGAAAAGATGGCTACATCAGAGTGAGATGGAAGTTGAATTGTTTCTCTCTGTTTAGGATCCTAAACATCAAGGGTTTTGTTGATTAGGAATTCACGTCAAGGGTTTTGTGAAAATCTGGAAAGTGGAAACAGGGGAAGGTTGAAGACGAGCAAAATTGGGATTTAATGCTTTTAACTTGAAACGACACCGTTTAATAAATCATTCCGACAAAAAATTAGGAGGACCGGCTGAGATCCAGTTTCCCGATCTCTCTCTCTCTCTCTACGCACACCAATGCATATAAAAGAGTCGCATTGAGGATCGGTAGTATTTATTCTGTTAAATGGTGTGCCTTGCTAGATATGGTTGATCATGGGCTTTTTGAGTTTTTGATTTTGAGTAATTTTATTTGCTAAAATCACTTCATGATAATAAGAAATATGATTGGTTGGCTTTTCTTGTAAATTCAGGTTAGTAATAAATTTGATACATGACTAACTTAGTGATTAATTAGTAAACTTATTTTCAATTGTTTGTTTTGGTCAAGTTTTATTCTCAAGGTTAATTTATGTTAATTGGTTGAGTGTTTCCCACCATGGTTTTCTTGTTGTGAACACAATGTATCCCAGACTAAGTCCCAATATTAATCCACACACATCGCTCGCCAATGCAAACTTCCACTCAAAGAGTGCTGCAAAGTCATCTTCTTCATCAAATTTTGATTGAGGTGCTCCTAGTTCTTCCTCGTTGTGGCATTTCTTTGTCAATGGAAATCCACACAACCCAGAGTTCCCAATGTAGGAAGTATTTGAGAAAGTATTGAACTGCTTCCCTTGAGGAATGTCACCTTCAAGTTTGTTGTGTGAGAGGTTCAAAACTGAAAGGAATATCGAACTTGTCAACTGCTCAGGAATCCAGCCTTCAAGCTTGTTTGATGAGGGATCTAGTGATTCAAGCTCTGTCATTTTCCCCAAAGATGATGGAATTTGACCAATGAGATTGTTGTGAGACAAGTTTAGAAAATGAAGTGACTTGAGTTCTTCTAGTTCTTCAGGAATGTGTCCAACATATTCCAATTCGGCTTCATCTTCATGTACATCTCTCATACCTATCAAATTTTTGAAATAGTTACTTGGTAGGAGACCCATGGAGTCATTCTGCGAATCATCAATGATTCTCAACTTAGAGAAGTAAAATGCAAGCATAGAGTTGTTAATGGCACAATGAATGGATTGAAGGATGAGAACTTTTAGCCTTCAAAGTACACCTAACCAAAGTGGAAAGGTGTCATTCATATAGTTGTTCCCCACATCAAGAACATGCAATAAACTGCAATAGCCCTCAGACCGCAGTAGTGTCCATTCCAACTGATTGCCATTTAGGTTAAGAGATCTCAGTTTACTCTCGTTGACAAAAGAATTTGGTATTATACCATGAAACTTGTTCATCTGTAAATCTAGATGTAGAGATAACTAAAGTTTCCAAGACATTCTGGAGTTTTTCCTCCAAACTATTATTAGCTAAGACTAGAACCCTAAGAGAAGTAAAATTGCAATAAGAAGAAGGGATTTCACTAGTCAAATTATTCCCTGAAATGAAGAGTTGCATAACATCCCAAGCTGTTGATAGAATGGGAAGTGATCCTTGTAGTAAGTTGGAACTGAGGTCAACCCTGATAACATTTTCAAAAGCAAACAAATCTATACCAGTCAAGAAGTTATAAGAAAGGTTTAATCTGGACAATGACATCCCTTCTATTTCCCATTTGTGAATTTGACAAGAAATCTTGTTCATATGTTTTTATTCTCCATAAAAATCAAACATTTATTTATCTTCTTTTGATTTAATTCATTCACTATATATGTAATGAAAGCTAATAATAGTAAGATAATTGAGAATATTAAGAAGAGAAGTAGAAGTGGAAGAAAAGAAGATAAAAGATAAGAAGGCAAAACAAATATTATTAGTACATATATTTATTATATTTTAAATGTAAAAATACTATATTTTCTTTTTAACTTTTAACAAAATAT